TATATATATATACATATATTTTATATATTTTATATATATATATATATATATATATATATATACATACTCCTTGTTCTTCTTTTTTCAAGATGAAATAAAACTTCACAGTATTATGATTTGGTCTAATGAGGAAGCATCGTTACAACAAAGAAATAATCTACCAAACAGACATTTCCTTGCTTTTTGTGCTATGTTTAGATAAGTATGCTAAATAAATAAATAAATAACATATTTGGCAAAATATGAAAATGTGCATTTATATCCGACGTAGTTACTTTTCCACAAAGGCAATATGTTTCAGACAAAAGGCTCAGCACCTGATATTCAACAAGGACAGAAAGCTGAGAGTCGTGAAAGAAAGAGACAAAAGTCCAACCCGTAGAGAAGAGAAGCTGCTTTACACGAAAGAAAAACCCCCGGAGGACGACCAGCGATCAGCGAGATCCCAGAAAACGTCAGTCCAGTCAAGATGACCTCGATGATCGAAAGGCATCGTGTTGAGTTCATGTCACCGGTACATCCTCCACTCACACGTACTGCTGGGGTTTCGGTGGGCCAGCAGCAGCTGAAGCCAGGCTCTTAGCCGTCTCCTTGGCCTTCTCCGATGCGCCCTTCACCGAGTCCCTGAGCAGCCGCTGGGGCGTCTCTCCTGTAAGTGAGTGAGTGTGTGTGTGAGAGAGTGAGAGAGAGACACACACACACAAGACAGAATGAGGACAATATGTTTTCTTTAGCCCTTTTTCAGACATGGAATACGGAGCATTGCTGGCTTCATCGAGCCGTTAAAGTGACGCCGACATACAGTATGCGACTTGAAAATGAATGTTGTTCAGACATGACAGGACATTTCCATAGGAAGGCCCACGTGGGGAAACATACTACTGCTAGAAAACAGTGATAGGTTGAAAAGTAGAATGAGGATTTCTCAAAGGCTGCATCGGTGGTGGGATCTGAAACATATTTAGTCATTGAAGGCTTAGTTAAGGACCATTGTGAATGCAAGATACGCTCGACTCCGTCTATTTCATAGTGTCTGACGGCACATAAACACGCTGGAACTTTGGTATGAAGGAACGTTAAAAATATAAGAATGAAGAAAGCTGTTCAGATTATTACGGCGGTTGTATAGAGTCTAACCTCATTTGTCCCGGGCACACTGCGAGGGGAGAATGATTCTTAGAGAGTGATCTGACATCTAACTACAATAACTATTAATGTAATTGAGATTGAGAGTTGACGTACTAGCAGCAGATTACACTTGAGGCCGTCAAACTGGTTTCAACATGTTCTCTTGTCCTCACTAGAGAGGAGTTGATTTCTTGAGTATGATTCGATTCCCTGACTGCGTCACACAGTCTGGTGCAGAGGCCCCACCAACTCTGCTAAAAGTGGAAAAACAACTGAATTTACTGCTTGAATGGAAGCACTTTTTAAAAGTTCAAATCCACCCTCAGGTACTTTCACATTATCAGAAAAATTGCAGCACTCCCAAAGTCTTTTGGGAGTTTTAGGTGTTTATTTTCCTCTGAAGGAAATGTCAAAAAACAACAACAAGAGAAGCAGCACTGAGGTATCTCAGCTGGTTTCTCAGGTCTGATTTTCATTCACTTAATTACAGTGTTTAAAAAAAAACAATTGATTTTACGGGGGTGCTATAAATAACTTTGTCAAATTTATTTTCTATATTTATCATTCTGACAAGAAAATACATACGTTGTGTTGCCGTCAGGACCTCATACATTTAAATTGAAGATAACTGTGAGAGCTGACATTTGTTAAACTCAAGACATTTGTTGCGATATTCACCTCTCACTCTGCCCTTTTCTCCTCATTTGACTGAAACACGACGACACCTTTCTTCTTGCCCGTGTTAACCTCCACGAGTGTTGATTATGAGGAAGAACTGATTACAGCTGGGTGCTGCTGACATTAACTATGACATTAACTGGAGAAGCCGACTCTGTGATCACAGAGGAAGCCCGCCAGCAACGCAGCAGTAACTCATGGAATAAGAAATACAAAGGCTGCTTGTATTTGTATTTAAGGATGGGGGTGATAGTTCCAGACTTTTAATTATTGTCTCTAAATAGTCTTATTGAATCAATATTCCCATATCTTTGTTATTCTAAAACACACACACCAAAAAAACGTTTTACCCGAGGGGATGAACACGAGTTGTACTTGAGCACCGGTTTCTCTGAGAACTTGAGTGAACATATTTCATAGTTTTGCATCAGCTCTTTCTTGGGGCCTTCATAGCAGTTGATGAGAGCAGCCATGATGCTAATTAACTGAATGTATTCACAGCAAGAGATCAGGAGATGGCTGCGGAGCTAAATGTGAAAAATGCTGGACGTATGAGACGAGCACTGCATCCACAGTCTATCTCGTCCATAAAGGCAGACAATAAAAAGCACAAACTCCAGTTCGACATCCAGATCAGGTGACAGCAGAGGCACACAGTCCCGGTTGCATTGCATGCAATCACAACAATACATGAATCCACCCCACTCATGACACTGCTCTCTCCCACCCCTCCTGTCCCTCCCACACTCTATTCTGTCCAATCAGAGGGGAGTGTTTTAAAATGAATGGTTGAAAATAAACGGTATAAAACCAAAATGCATAATGACTTTAGGTTTTTGAAGCAACAACACTGGGGGTCCTCTCTGCTCTACAGCACATGTTATTGACTATACTGCCATACAATGGCAAAATGCAGTAATTGACACTACTTTCAAAGTCACAAAGGTTTGCCTCTACTCTCTAACATACGATTGGTTTAATGTCAATGGAAGGACAAATGCACAACTTTATGTAGCATACTGGTAGCTGCTATTTTTAAATATATATATATATAATTCAGCTGGATTGTAACTAAAGAGATTGTGATTTAAAACAATGTAAAACAACAAACACCACAGTACAGATCTTAAAGTTCAGTTCATGACATTAGGGTCAACTAAACTATACACTATCTACTTCTACACCGACGCTAGATCAACTTTTCAGTCACTGTCACTCTGAGTTTCTGACTTTTGAGGACAAAAACGTGTTGTGCATCTGCACACACAGCACGCGAAGGGGAGACAGACACTACCTCAGCTACACAAGTCTACTGTGTGAGGCTCATATGTGGCATCATGTGACAAATCTGGGCATTGCCTGGGTTGTCAGATGGATGACCACTGCTAACATACTTACCACAACGCTCAGCCTGATCCCAATCCCTGCAGTGCCATCAACAAAGGGGCAGTGGGACAGAATCACAACAATGGGAGAAGGCCCTTTAGACAACAGTACGCCGGATCAGCACAACACAGAGATTGTAGCAGGACATAAACCTCACTCGCCGGGGCTCACTGCCAAACGAGGCACTACCGTTCTCATTTCACAGCTTCTAGTTTTCGAACTTAAATGTTTTTATTTGCATTTGCCTTCTTAATAATGTCTATAAAAGTCAAGTCAGCCAAACAAATACAAATTTTTTTAGTTTTTCAGGGTCTGATGATGTATAAAGGATTTGTTCAGAAACAATTAAGGGTTGTGATTATAGCTGAATTCAACCAAGAATACCAAAAATATGGCTCTTCCTGCTATTTTATATCAACCTAAATTTTGTTTTGGACTCTTGGTTGCACAAAACAAGGAATTTTAATGTGTCAACTTAGGCGTTGGTAGATTTAAGAGACATTTCTGTAAACAACTAATCAATAATGAAAAGAATATCATTCATTTCAGCCGTAGTTGTGATGAAGGACACAGATCTTTGCAGGTACTGTAGTCTTCGACAGCTGCCACTATTTGCTTCTGAAGACCCATATTTGACAGACTGCACCTGTAGTTAGCCTGAGGTTTTGTTCATGTTTATGTAATCAGGTTATTGATGTCTTTCACGTGCCTCTCATATGGCCTAGTCCACAGTTTTTTTGTTTCGGCAACACTGACTTCCTAAATTGTTTTGGTCTGAGTCTAAATACAGAAGTCCAAGCTGTTTGTCTCACATCCCTCTGCAGTCACATGGTGTTTTAAAAACAGGGACCTTTAAACTTTCTACGTGTAGGAGTGTGCATGTTCTATAGGCAATGCCAGAGTAGCTACTGCTTCAAACTTAGGTCAGGGTAAATGTTAGCATTTGAATGCCACTCCAGTTTTTACTTTCACCATGAAAGCAGAGATAAATCAAACCATAAATAAGTCAAAACAATTGCATAAAAAGTGTCGCATTCTAACGTTTTGAGGAGAGGAAGCCCAACTTCTCATAAGAGTTTCTCCTCTCCACAAATAGCAACAGTTAAAAATAAGCTGTTTTGTCTCCCTCTTCTCTTTCCCGTGCACTTTTCTCCCGTTAGTGGGGAAGTGTACGTACCCTGTAAGTTGGACAGTGCGTGTTCCAGCCCTTTCATGGACTTCACCTGATTGCTCTTGAAGCGGGCCAATCCGAACTCCTGGGAAAAGACAGAAGAGGAAATGACTTTACATGTGAAAAAACAACACTAAGCCAACAGTCCTCTCTCTCTCTCCTTTTCTCTGGGGATATCAAAGTCTGGCATCTTCCACATCTAATAATAACAATTATTGGCTGACATATTTTTGGCACAGTTTTCACCTCTCCCCTCAAATCTCCCATTTCTATATTTTGGCATTTGTCCTCTGATGCCCATGCTATGGCCTACAAATCAAACTACGGCCTTCAAAATTGGATTTTGTATGTTACCCTCTAGGCTAAAAACAAATGTACGTACTTAAACTAAAGCGTAAACACGTCTATTTCTACACTATCGGATGGATAAAAGTAGCCAATGATTGTCAATAAGTCGAAGTGTCCTTTGCTACTATTAAACTGATCAATTTATATCTGATTTATGTACAGAACATAATGGCTTTTTTTTTAAAGAAAATAACTAAGAATAGGATGAAAATGTATATTACACTCAGACTAGTTTAACAGTTGATTAAAGCATGGGTAACTACTAACTGCACAAAGAGGGTAAAAGTACCTGAATAGGTCTGGAGAGGCCATAAACATTTGAGGATATCCACGCCTCTCGTTTCAGCAGGGTGGTGGCTGGCTGCTCCACTGAGTCTTGGAAAACACAACGCTCTTCAACTGACTGACATGGGGGGAAGAGAAAAGGGACAGCGAATGACGTAAAGGACAAAGCTGTGTAACCGTTTCAATTTGTCACGCAGGATGCACGCCGTCAGGAACAGAAGTGGAAGAACTGAATACATGTTTGTAATGCAGAGTTTCGACATACTTAAGAGCTGATTCATAATGAAAACACATGCTGGAAACAAATGAATCCACTTTTCTTGCATGATCTTCGCCACTTTATATTGTGTGGACAACACAAGTTGCAAGCCTCTGTTAGATTTAATGAGAGTACATTTTAACTCATAATATATCAAACATACAAGTACAACAAATTACAGGGTGGGAATATTTGGGGAATTTCGCAGTTTGATCTGAACGCTTTGATCAGACAATTTCTTTGATTACGACCATTTAGCTTAACGTCACGTTGTGGTAGATTAACTCCCTCCTGCATTAGTGTGTAGTGTACAGCGGTGAGAGTGTGAAAGTAGCATACCCTAAAGCTGCATAATGTACAAGTCATGTCATGGTCCCTCTTCCCTGCTAGATTAATACATCTGAACTGCGCTCAAACGCTCGCCTCCTTTGAAGATCAGGCTGGTTGAATTAATATTTCCTCCTCCCTCCTGGGGAAAGCAGCAACACAGGACTGCACTGTGCAGTCGTGACTCAGAGTTCAGTCTTTTCTACTCTGCCAACAGAGTTTACAGTGTCAACAACAAGATCTTTTTGAATAGGAGAAAATACTAATTTAACACACTGCATAACTGTTGTGTGAGTGTGGTAAGAGGTATGCAATACTGCACCTGTAATGACATCTAACAGTGATGTCAGTATTTTCCTATATCACTGAAGCAATGTGATAACATGAGCCACTAGAGATCGGCGAAGCCATTATCTTTTGGCCACTTGGGGGCAGTTGTGAACACAACTCTGATATATCATCACCTTTTATGTTGAAATAACAAACGGCCGCTTATCTTCACATCCCGCCATTCAAAGCAACACTATACTTCATTTGGAGTCGTGTTTATGAGCAGCTTTCACTCTCTTCTAGCTTACTCTCCACCACCTTCTGAGGTAAAAAAAATTAAAAATCATATGAGCAGCTAATTGCTCCACTTTGTGAACCAGCTTGACACATATAACCATGCTTGTATTTCTCAAAGACTTCTGAGGAATGTTGCACTAAAAAGGAACAAACCACAGAGAGTCAAGACACCTCACCATGAGAGTTGTGTGGTTGAGGTTCCAGGTGTAGGTGGTCAGAGTCCTGTTGACCGGGTCCACGATGGAGTCCTCGATGATGTACACAGAGCGAGACATGCCGCCGGGGAAGACACGCTCCGCCCATCGAGGCAGCCGATTGGTCTTCATCAGGAGGCGTCTGGAGAGAAGCCGGTGGTCCGCAGTCACCTCCCGGTACACAACATCCTCTGTGAGAACATGGGTGCTGATATAAAAACAAAGCAATGAGACGAAGGATACTCAATAGATTTGACCAACCCACAGTTCCAAGTTTGCACTATATTCGTAATATGGATTTTGACACCCATTGTGTCCACTGGACGCATGTCAGAAAGAGATCTCTTAATGGCCAGTATGAATATAAGGAATGATTCCCGCAAACGAAAACTGTGTCAACTGTGTCCATGTACATATGGGTGTGAACCTATCCTTTCACTTTCAGGTTCTAATTTCTGTTATTTAAACAAGGGGTCCACTTTTAAACACTAAATGAAAAGAGAATGTGTATGTTTGTTTTCTTTTAATGCACAAAAAGGTCACTGATGTTTGTGAGCTACCATACAGCAAAGATCTCTGAAGGTGTTGTTCTCTATCTTTATCATGACTGAGGGCTCTTTTTAGTTGTAAATGCAAAGCAATGCACATAAGGTTCACCTTAATTATATAGTAGGGTTGAACAATACACTCCTCTTCATCCTAATAACTCATTATGACAACAATATTCCTGCACAACAACAACAACACTCTTCACGACATCTCAAAAGGTCCTCCACTGAGTTGAGTTTTCTAATCCATCAATACTGATCTGAGAACGTAAACACTTCTCATTACATTTATGATGAAGTTGGTTGCAAATGTTCTGTAGCTAGAGAAATATCACATTAAAAGCAGAGACTAAAAATAAATACAGGTTCACAACGTCGTCTTGTTTTGCCCTTTTTCCTGGTCACTCATATATATACAAAGTTGAGCAAGTATGATTGTGGCTTATTAATTTAATTGTAAAATACAATCTCTGAAAGGCTGTGAGTTTACAATGAGCCTCTCTGATAAAACACTGAGAATGAAGTTATTACCTGAATGGGTTTGGATACCTCTGCCAAAAAGCAGAGACGACATGGTCCCAAGTACTCGTGATGTCTATGGTATTACTGAAATACTTGACCATTCTTCACTCACTGATGGCTTGAATTTCGAACCCTGAGTGACCTGGCTGCAACTTCATAAGACAATGAAAACTCGGGTGCTGACTCCATCCAAAATCTGGCACAGTCCTGTGAAGGAGATGAGAAAGAACTTTACCGAATCTATCAACCATCAGTGAGCGTTAAATACAAAGGTACTTACAGATTATAAATACGGTTTAATTTTCACATTGTGTGATAACATGTACATAATATCCCTTTGTTGTCCAACAACTGTACTTGACAGTAAAGGGATATTGTTTTGATGACGATGATACAGTTGTACTGTGGTAGAGCTATCTTATCAGTATTTGTTGGTATATTAGGTCACTGTAGTCAATGTTACATATCTATAAGCACGACTGCTTTAAGGCAGTATTTTTTTTTGCTTCGATGTGATTATGTACATGTATTTGGTATATATACATTTCTGGCTTACTCTGCAAGTTAGAAATATGCAAGAAATGTTTCTTTCATATCTATCGATATCACAACATACAATTATCTATAACGTGACAGAAGATTGTATTCATATCTCCCACTCCTGCTGCATATCCATCATTAGATGTATAAAACTACCTTTCCGTATAGATTAACTTATTACAACACCAATGTAATAATTATTCCAACATTCGTCTCACACCCATACAATCTAGCAACAACTATACAGCACCAACCATACCGCTATATACTGTACACAGCTTGTTTTGCATTGTTGTTTACCTACTTCCACTTCCATACCTGCCTGTACACAATAACTATATTTCTTTGTCTTTTCTTAACTGCACAATTCAATTGCTTCTTACGTATCATACGAGTCTTCCTAATTAACTGTGGGGAGGATCTGTTTTTATGTTTGAGTTAAAATATCCTTTTTGCCAAACTACAGCATAACATAACACGTCCTTAGCGCTTTTAACAGCTAACAATAACTGACACAAGTGGTGTCTGAGTAAAGTCACCGTTACTTACGCAATCTGTACACATGTCACCTTGACTTATGGCTTTACATCGCGCTATACAGCAGCTGAGGTAAGGACTTGTTCTTAGCTCGATGGCTAATGCTACTGCTAACAAGTTAGCTCCATAGACTGTCTATGAGGTGAGCTCCTTGGATAGCTAACAGCAAGCTAGCTTCTAAAACAGATGTGACAGTCGGCATATTAGTTATTTTACAGCTCAATCATGACTGTGTTGAGATCTTGACAGCTGGCTTAACAACAAGAGCTCCATCGAGGTTAATTAAGTTGAGCTTTTGTAACTAGCTCCTGGCTAACCTTGTGAGGAAACGAGAGACATCTTACCTGAAGTCATTGCTACTGAAAAATTAGGCTAATAAATATCAGCAGAGTGCCTGGTTGCACAACGTTAACTGATTACATGCATTATCCTCCATGTGACAGACACAACAGGATCGGACTCAGGACTCCGGACCAGAGATGCGTAGGACCGTTTCTTCTTGTTCAATAGCGGGCAACGCACCAGCGTGAGAGGTGCTTGTCACCACCTACTGTACCGGAGTGTCATTGCCTTCATGAAGAATTGATAATCTGTATGTTAAACATGTTTTCTCAGTAAATCCACTTTAATTTAAGGTACAGAATCACCATGCAGCATGGTCCCATGGTTAAAGGTACTGAAACTCGTGTGTGATTAGAAATAGGAGCCATGACATCCAACATTTGACCATGTCAAATCATCAATAAACAAGTATTCCTTGCTTTAAATTGGCACAGAAACCATATAAATACAGCCCCTGAATGACAAACAAATACATTTTTTGAATTAACACAACTGTCTCAAACGAATGGAGACATGGTCTGTGGCGTCACTGGTGAGGTCATGGTGAGGTCATGGTGAGGTTTTAAATAAAGTCAAATTAAAGATGTCATTTTATGACAATACCTTGCCCAGGTAACACACACGCCGACTGCCCCGTTTGCAGATGCCAGTGATCTGCAAAGTCCACTGCTCTCCGCAGTTTAATAAACAAGAACTGCATGCATTAAAACCATGGCACACTAAATACTAGAAAGATATTCAGCCACAGCATAGTTTTACCACATTTTTTTTGGGGGGGGGGGGGGGGGGATTTACATTACATAAAGTCATGTCAATTTTCCAAAAATTTGCCCCAAGGGACTTTACAATTTGTAGCCTACAGCATGCAACATCTATCCTGACACCCAATTCTGATAAGAAGAGGAAGAGATAGCCTTACTGTTAGGCCCTGTGGTTCAAGATGATACCACCATGACATCATCAAGAGATTATAATCTCACACTTGACAAATCTCCTTCAGAACCACAGAATAAATGACAGAACTGTTTTCAAAGGCAGTGGAGTACTAACCAAGGCATCTAAAATTGGTGGTGTGCCTTTAGAGGCCCTGTTGCTCATAAAACATGTACACGTTTCTTATCATCCTTGTGTTTTTCACCATCTAGTGGCTAAAACTGGGCATGAACACCAAAAATATTATATTGTTGATAAAAGGTTATTAATGCAACTTGTCATTATGCTGATCACTGATGTGTGACTCACATCTGTAAAAATAATGTATGTTATGAATAGCCTATAGTCATGAACCAACGGACTGAACCTATGGACTGAACCAAGGTAATGTTAGACAAGTTGTGAACACTCTTTGCATACTGCATTTTTTATGTCGCTCTCAAAATAAGGTTTTGTTGCATTGCAAATACAAGAAGAAAAGAAAAGAAGAAAATATGCAGCGTGTCGCATGTGCTCCTCCGGGCCAGTAGGTGGCGCACTAACATTTTGTCGTACTGTCCAACTTTTGCGTCGTTTCCGTCTCTTCTTCTTCTTCATTTGCCAGCAAAGGGAAGTGCCCTCCATGGTGTCATTGTAGGTCTTCTGAGGTTGAATATCCAGAAGAAAGAACAATGTCTGGGTACACACCAGACGAGAAGCTCCGTGTCGAGCAGATCACCACGCTCCGGAGAAAGTGGCTGAAGGACCAGGAGCTCAGCCCGAGGGAGCCCGTAATACAAGCGAAGCCTCTCGGCGGCGTCGCTAAGTTCTGGGCTGGCTTTCTGGAGCCCAAGAGCCTGTGGAGACTTTACGTGAGTCCCAGTACACAGCTAACTCTAGCTAGCTAGCTAGCAAAACAACCACCAATGATAACTGAACATACGCAAACTATCAGTAAACAAACTGAAGGTTTACATAGTATGACTACAGCTTAAGCTAACGTATAAAACGTTAGCTAACGAAGAGCTAACGTATAAAACGTTAGCTACAATACAGCTTTGTCCTACTTCTCTCTTAACATGACATGCTTGTTTATTAAAATAATAACTTGTGCTTATTGTACAACATTCATCATTTGACAATAAAGTGACTATATATGGTTAAATAGGGCAAAATAAATGCCTACAAGGGCATTAGAAAAATAGCTGCAGCCTTGATGAGGGCAAATGACTTTGTTATGAAATGGAGTACAAACACACTATTTGTGAGTGTTTTACAGCTGAATATTTTACATGCATAAACTCTTGACCTACTCAAAGTTAGAGAGCAAGCACCAGCCTGTGTTGACGTATGCATGGTCTGTTTGGAGCAGTCAGAATAAACAATGATTCATTATGTAGTCTTCTTCTATATATGATAACCTGTCTCTTATGTGCATCTTCTTGCAGACCTACAAAGCGTACACGGGTGGAGTTTTCACATTAACACGGCTGTTGATACCGGCTTGGATTGTTCACTACTGTGTGAAATACCATATTGCTGTAAGTCAACAAGAAATGTTTTACATTATTTGTGATACTAGTAAACAGAAAATAGATGTGTGAAAAGAATTGTAGGACTCCTGTCTCCAAGTTATGTGCAATAGAGTTCGACCAACAGTTTTATTGTTGTGTATTTCCTCTATGAGCTTTTCTTTAAGGTACTTGTGGATGTACGTTCCTGTATAATAACCTACATGTTTAACTATCTAAAGTTTTATTTAATTCTTTAGGTAGCATAAGAGTAGGGTAACTTCCAAAGAAAGCAGGACTACGTTAGAATGACGGACGTGCAGCAATGACTTTAATCCATGTTCTTTCATTCTCTGTTGCATTTGACAAACAAGGGTACCATACATCACTACATGCATTATATACTCAATGCATGCAGGTGTCAGCATACTAAATAACAATGTCATTGTCCCCTACAGCAAAGGCCATATGGCATTGTGGAATTGAAACCCAAGCTGTTCCCTGTAAGTATGACTAATTTATTAGTTGTTTGTACATACAGCTGCATATTGGCTTGATTTACCAGCTATAGTAACATCTGATTGTCCCACAGTCTGATTACATGCAAACAGGCCACAGTCCTGCGGTGCTCTGACAATAGCTGTTCTATGAGATGTCTACGTCCGGAAAAGGAGTATTTCTGAATTGTTTGTCCTTGTTTTTGTGTTAAGGGTGACACCATTCTGGAAACGGGTGAAAGTGTTCCAGATCTCCCTGAGACCCATGGCCATCACTGAAGTTGAAATAGTTCAATAATTTTCTGTTGTAAAAACTGTGTATATGCCAATAAAATATTATAAAATCATTTATGAGTACAAGTGATTACAGATTGATGTAAATAGTGACATATTACAGTGGGAATTCTTGTAAATATTTTTGATGCTTCCATGAGACAAAAATATTTTAGGGATTGCTGTAAATTACATTTTGATAACATGTAACTTCACTTGTTTGATACTTTTCCTTTTGAAGAAGGATAATGGTATGAGGATTGAATGTAAGGGAAAATCATTAAAATGCCATAAACTGATAACTAATATCAGTTGAAATGTGGAAATCAGTTAGCAGTATTTTATGGAGAATTGGATAGATGGGACACAAATTAGAAATGTTATGTTTGTCAAAATTTGAGATTCATTCTCACTCTGGTACAGCTTTCGCTAACCTCTTCATAAGATACACTGGTTTTCCAAATTGCAATTGTAGCCTAGTGCACATAAAATGTTTGTGAAATTGTGACAAAATTTGAAACTGAGCTGAAAATGACGCAATCTTGTTGACTGAGAACCCTCACCTTATATGTACGATATGTGGTATCATGTGACATAAATACTAGGCTTTAAATGGCTCTTATTTTGGTTGGAATTGGGCTCATTGCAGGTTACAGTAAGTACACTGTAGAATAGCTACTGTCACTAAACTGGAAATAGAAAATAATTTAAATTGTTATTTAATTTTGACAGTAAAACAATATTCAAAATGCGAAGACTGCGCTTTTATTGTGAAGGGCGGAAGTGGGTTATAGTTTGTATTACATCAAAAAATACTCGGACTGTTCGGTAGGATTTGGAAGGAGCGTTATGAAGCCAGGCTGCTGGACTTGTTTAAACTCACTCCTGAACGATAGTTATGTAGAAATGAATGGATTTCTACAAGACGGAGAAGGCTGATCAGTTGTCAACAGCATACGTGTCTGGGGAAGCCAAAAGTAAATATTGTACAACTTTTTCTCGAACGTCCTAACTAGACTGCGTCTCTACGTCTTAGCTATGTAGCATTAGCTAGCTAATGCTACATAGCTTATCAGCTACCTAACTCATGCTACCTAACCTAGCATGCTAACCTTAGCGAACATAGTTCCCCAGTTCGTGAGCTAGAGTTTGAAGCTTCGATCAGTGGTACCGCCAATGTAGCTTTGACAGAATAGCTTGTGTGAATGTCAGGATTGTCTGAGGTACTATCAATACGTTATATCTTACGTATTTACAACTGTTTAGCTTTCCCGAAACTAACACGAGTCATTTCTGTGATCCTATAGGCACGGGTCTAGCCTAGCCGGCTAGGCTAACCAATGTCAAGGCTAACCGAAAACACCGCAATCGAAGGAATAAACGAATTTAACTGTAGGGTTATTCCGACATGTTCTATCAACATTAGCGATAGATGAGTAAGGCACGTAATGTGTACAGCGCAAATAAATGTCATGTAACGTGAGGAGCATGACAGGTATGTATCACAGACTGTTATAGCATTAGCGTAACATTATCCATCGATTTAAGCATTCATTTCTGTCATTTATTCTGCTCTGTTTCTCATTATAAGACACGTTTGTTGGTGTAACACCATTTTTTATTGTTACTACAAGATACTCATGATAGGACAATTACAAACCGTTTATTTATTGCTCAAGTAGGAACGTGTTGGGTTAAAGTTATTGATGTATCGGTGGGCATGCAATTGGAGAGACAGTCAGTTCGTGTTATAACAAACGAAACTGATATGACATAATAATTAAAGTAGACTTGTGCTAGCCATATAGTGTTTTATTGTTTCCATTATGATGAGAAAGTGTTCATTATAACATGATTATTCATTCATTATAACATTATAACACCTGTCAACAGTAGCAGGTCATAATGCAGTGATTCATGGTTGAATCTGGTGCCTACTCAATATGTCTCATTTTAGACTTAACTGCAACACCTTGGTAGAACGTAACAGGTTACTGTATGTCTGCCTTACCATTCTTGTTTGGTATGTGCGAGAATTCCCAATTTCATAATAATTTGAACCCTATTTTTCTCATCAGATTATGTCAGCAATCAAGTTTGCCCTGCAGCAGAGCCAGAAGAAGGGCAGAAGGAAAACCTCTGAAGACACATCTGCAGAGGTGTCGCCGGACTCCAAATGTCCCATCTGTTTGGACAAATTTAACAACATTTCTTACCTGGACCTCTGCCTACACAAGTTCTGTTTCCGCTGTATTCATGAGTGGTCCAAGAACAAAGCCGAGTGCCCTTTATGCAAACAGTCCTTTAATTCAATCTATCACACTATAAATTCAGAGCAAGACTTTAAGAAATATGACTTGCAACCGGTGGAAAACACCTCTTTTGGGACTTTTGGTGGAGTGCGGTTTAGATACCGCACAACTCTTACCGGAGTCCATCGACAGATGCGGGGGAGGACCTCTCCGCCTCCAGACAATGGAGTCATGTTTGAAGCCTCGGCAAACCCTCCCCAACAGCCGCAGGACCGTTACATCCGGCGGATGATGATGAGGTTGGCAGCCAAGAGGAGAGCTGCGAGTGAAGGCCGGGCAGTGAACAGTCTCAGAGAGCAGGAAATGGTCAACTTCAGGAGGGAACTGTACCGACGGGGGGTGAGGATTCGGAGTGTCCGGGATGGTGGCCGCTCCCGAGACACCGCGGCTGAGTTCTTCCGAAAAAATCCCGCCTGCCTGCATCGACTGATCCCCTGGCTAAAAAGAGAACTGATTGTGCTGTATGGAGCCCACGGCTCTCTGGTCAACATAGTTCAACACATCATCATGTCGCGCATTACACGTTACGATATGGAGGACGGAGCTATCCAGGAAGAGCTGAGGCCGTTCCTCCAGGGGCGCACGGAGCACTTTCTGCATGAGTTCATCAGCTTTGCAAAGTCTCCCTTCAACATGGAGGCCTATGACCAGCATGCTGTCTATGACTGCCCGGCCGCTTCTTCAGATGAAGACGGCAGCTCCAGTTCGTCCGTGATCGCTATCTCAGAGGATGAGGAACACTCGGTGGAGTTGAACCCCCCAGGAGACCCCACGTCTTCGCTGAGCCACGCTGTGTGGGACGATGAGACGCCGGGGCCGTCGTATTCTACGACAGCAGAGCAGGGCAGGGCAGAGTGTCTGTCAGTCCTCGACTCAGACAGCAGTTTAGAGGAGGAGGCGCGTGAGTTTGGGGCCTCTCCACAGCAAACGAGTCCTCATAACCAAACAGACGAGACTCGGGGTGAAGTTAACCACGAAGAGTGTCTGCCTTATGACAGCGACGACTGTGTCATTATTAGTTTTGTGAAGCCAACAACAGACAGGACTCCTGAGCTGGTTCAGCTGTCCTCTGACTCGGATGAGTCTGGCAGTGAAGATATTAAAGCAGTGCCTCTTCTACCTCAACACATCCGCTTCTCTAGTCTCAGTCCTATGGCTTCACAGAGCAGTGATCCAAGCGGTGCTGGACAGTCAGAGAATGCAGAAACTGACCGCTATCATCTGTTGGATTCAAAAGAAAGATGTAGCTCTTCAACATCCAGCAGGCACAAGACATCCAGTAAGTCGGGCAGAAAAGACAGATCTAGGGAGAGGCTGTTGTCAAAGGACAGAGACCATGGGAGGAAGAGGAGGTTACGAAGTGCAGAGCGCAGGCACTCCAGCAGGAGCCCGGTGATGTCCCACAGCAGTGTCGGCACTCTATCCAGAGAAGGAGGTTATTCTTACTCCAGTGGCAGAGACTACTCAAAACGTGACGGCGATTGCATGAGGAGGGACAGTGATCACAGCTATCAGTTGTACAGGCATTACAGCCAAGAGAAAAATGATGGTGGGAGGCATTACACAGAGAGGCGGTCCTACTATTACAGCAGCCGCAAGTTCACAGATCGTCGCTCTTGCTCCAGGAGCCCCAGCAGGGACAAGCGTAGACGGGACAAAGGGCACTCTCGTTCTAGGACTTATTCCAGCAGTCGCTCCCCTTCAACGAAACGGAGACCTCACAACAGCAAGCCTGGTGGAAAGAGGAAATACAAGACGAGACATTTGGAGGAAACATCCAAAAACGCACTTTCAAACTCAAACGCTGAAGGTGACGCCCCCGTTTTATCAACAAAACACAAGAAAAAGAGCAAAGAGAAGCGTCGGAAAAAATCCAAAGACAGGTCGAGAAAGACGAGCAGGAGCGTCAGCGTGGAGCTCGTCAATGAGGAAGACTGTCATGAGCGAAGCAAGCTTCACCATAAGAAGAAGAAGAAACACAAGAAGAAGAGCAGAAGGCACAAGAGTAACGAACGCACAGGGAAGCACTCGCCCACTGTCATTACCATCGATAGTGACAGCGATTCGTTTGATAGTGACAGTGTCGACCAGGCCAGCAGCACGAACAAGGACAACCCAACAATCGACAGTACCACAGAGGGCCCAGTTGACTCCGCCCCTCCGGACTCTCTGGAGTAGTTTTACAGAAGTTCAGATTCCAGACAGTCAGATTGGAGCTGATGGATTCACCCACCAGCAGCTACGGTCTGCCAGCAGTATTTAACATCAAAACAATGGTCAATATGTTGCTATGTTAACATGACTGAGCTAACACTTAAACCCCTAAAATGTTCCTGTTTAATGTGCAAAGTGCCACTATGAACGAAGGAGAATCAAATCAAAATCAAAATGTCTTTGTATAGCACATTTTAAAATACAACTAAGGTTGCCCAAAGTGCTGATGGACTTCTATTGGGGATTGCACATCTTTTTTCAGTGTCGATTCTTATTCAGGAAAGTCATTTTCTTTTAATGGATGTTTTTTATTTCTATGGTGCTCTCAGGGGTGATATTGATCACAGTGATTTTCTTTTGTCATCATAAGTCAGCTTTCTTCTTAAGACAAAACAATTTCTATCCGCTACACACAGAGTAGTTCTTACCCGGAGATGGTGTTTGGGTCTCTGAATGTGTTCTTTTGTGGTTAATTTCATTTGAAATAAATTGTAATGAGCAACTGTGTGTGCTGTTGTTTTCTGAAAAGAAAGAAACTGACTGTAAATTTCTTTGCATAGATTTGTAGTCTCACAAATATGAGGATCGATCCTGATTCTGCATGAGAATTCAGATAAACTCAAACCTCTTATTTGGGTCCTGTACCTCTCAAAATAAATCTACAGCTGTTGCTATATATAATTCACTTCCTGTTTCATGAGACACAACTTTTGCTCTCCATCTTTCATGTACCTCCCACAATACAAAAATACAAAGTGCTGTGCTGATTCAGTGTAGAAGGGTTGAGTGCTAAACTTTTAATTTCTTGATTATATAGCCGTGAAAAGCATTATCCTTAAAACCTAAATGTGTGTCTTTTATAGTGGTTCATGTGTGTGTGGTTAGTTTTTGGATTCCCAGCACTTTCCATGAGAAAACTGAGCACTAGAAGTTTACTAAAAACATCATACTCTGTGAAATGTCAAGGCCAAATTTAGTAAGGGGATGTCACTTAAAAGGACTATACCAATGTTTTTGCATATTTTATTTTTGTGCCTAGTACACACTTCTTCACAGGGCTGCAGACCATTTCAAAAGTACCTTCTTTCCAGTTTGCATTTATTTTTCATATTATAATGAAATTAAATTCAGTTTAATTATCATCTTGGTAGAGATGGGTCAGTTATGAAAGTCATAGTGTTGTGGCAAACAATGCTTAAAGTGCATAATAAGTTGAAAAGTATTCCCTTTAGCTAGCTGCAGAAGTACAAACAACTACAGTAAACAAGTCCACTGATGAATAATGTCACAGGCATCAAGTGAACTTAGGGTTCGTGGTCAAATTAATGGAAACGAATTGCCTGCTGCAAGGTAGACGGATAATGGTTAAGCGCCATGCCATTATTTTGAAGGCAAACAAACCAAACCGGAAGAGGCTTGTCTGATTTCCGCTGTGCTAACGGATGTTAACGGATGTGGCTACAAAGGTTCTTTTCCTCACAACTTCTTTAATTTGAAAAACAAGAACAATCTCGTCATGGCTTCTTCCATGGTGCCCATTAAGGTAATAACCTGACATGTATTGTCACATTGAAAGTCTTACAAAGTGAACATTGTGTGTTAGAACACAGTGGGGAAATCAATGAAGATAACGTAACTAGTAACGTAACGTAGCTAGTTCACGTTATCTAATGCAAATGTGCTGCTGTGACAAACATGGAAGCGCGGGAAATGCTCTTAAATAACGCTAGCTGTTAGCGTCGTACTGTAATAGAAAAGCCGTACTTGTAATCTTTTGTTTACCAGCTAACGGCCATAGCTAAGTTAAATAACACAAGCTAACGTCTGCATGCTAAGTGCAATGTTGCTCTATGAGGTACTGGGGAAACAGCTCGGGGTCAAAGGTGAACCATCTTAGGTTTAGTGTAGGGGTGTCCAAACTTTTTTCAAAGAGGGCCATTTGATAATGTGAAAATGCCCAAGGGCCAACAGTCCCTGCTGACATTATTTTAAACAATACAAGTAGCCTATAAATACATTGTTATTTAATCATTTTATTTTCAATGACAGCAAATAGCAATGTAACCAAATGTTAGCAGCTATAATCACTATTTTAAAGTGATTAGTGACTCGTCTAAAACATTTAAAAAAGGAATAACTTCAATAGAATCATTCTATACACTGTAGCTTCTTTACATTCTATTAGAATGTAAAGAAGTTACATTCTGATACAATGTAGCTTATTTACATTCTATTAGAATGTAAAGAAGTTACATTCTGATACAATGTAGCTTATTTACATTCTATTAGAATGTAAAGAAGTTACATTGTTGCCTTTTATTTTATTTTCTTCCCACAAGAATGTAATTTTGTCAGGTTGATTAAAAAATGTCACTTTACTTCCTGACATTATTGTTACTTTACCTTAGTGGATTGGACACATGGCCAGGCATGACAGCTGTCAGTAAGTACAATTACTAAGTACTCCAATATTAGCTTTGTATCCTACTTTGTACGTCTTCTCCCCCGCATTTCAGAAGGAAACGTACATTTTAGTTCACTATAATGTTTTGCCATCTCTTATTACTAGTTATTTCACAGATTAACATACAACAAGCTTATAAATACAACAGGATATACAAGTATATCTGGAACACAAATGAAAAAAATTATTGGTTGCAGTCATAGAAAATATCTTAATATTATAATTATTATCAATGCATTGATTCATATGGAAGCAGCAATGTTGTAGGTGGTTTCAGGGGGAACCAATTTGAACAATTTAACATATTGGTAGTAATCTATGACTTTACATCATATCTTCTATCTAATATACCCATCTTTTAAGTACTAGAAATTAATAAATCTTTCAAATAAATGTAGTGGAGTGAAGTAAATATTTGCCTCTATTACTACACTACCCTGGAGCGATACTGTTAACTGACTACAAACAGTAAAATATGTACAAACACAGCCAGAATTCTTCCTTATGGGGAAATAGCATCTTGTCTTTGGGTTTTTCAGTTGGTCATGAGTTAGTGACTGATTTGAATGTGTGCTCATATACTTTTAAACACCACCTTTCATTTATATTTTGTGTTTTGCCCATGCTGTCATTTCTATACTGTACAAAAAACACATTATGAGAAATTTAATTAATAAATTCTGATGTAATTGTGTGTTGATGACTTCTTCTGTTTAGATTGGAATAATTGGTGGTTCAGGCCTTGATGATCCAGATATCTTGGAGGGGAGGACTGAGCGTTATGTGGACACACCGTATGGAAAGGTTAGTCGTGTGAACAATGAGCTCTACTGACATTCTGGCCTGCTTTGCGCGTAGATGAATCCGTAGAGGAGTGTGCTGTATAGTTTGATCGTTCTGCTCCTCTTCAACAGCCATCCGATGCTCTGATACTGGGGAAGATAAAAAATGTGGAGTGTGTGCTCCTTGCAAGGTAAGAGAAGGTGTTTTACTTCATCTTAAAATATCAATTATGAAAATGTGTTTTATTAGCACCACCTAGTGGATCCTCATTTATACTGCATCTTTTCAATATTACACTCCATATAACAATGAGGTCCCATGCGTCTAATACTAATACTACTACTACTAAGAATAAAATAACAAACTTTATTTATACAGTACCTTTCTAAACACTGTTACACATTGCTTTGCAATTAAAACAATACATTTAAAAACACAAAGAGAATGAAATGAACTAAAAACATAGAGTAAAATGAACAAATATGTCATAAACCACAAATAAAATTGCTGAAAAGCAATTCTAAAAATGTGGATTTTTAAAAGATGACACAGATTTTGCAGATTTTTCCAATGTCAGGAAGCCAGGGTCGGTGAAATGTTGACTAATCTACTAGTTATGAAGGCGTAAAGACGGTTTCTAGGTTTTTGTGATAGAGATGGTCTAATCCTTGAAATATTCCCAAAATTATGAAAGCAGGATTGATCCATTGATTTATTTGTGTAAGTTGAGGTTGTGATGGAAAGATGTCTGCAGTGCTGAGTTATTGAATGGGACACAACCAAGACTGTTGATTCAGGGTTAACAGTCTGTGAGTGTGTTTGCCGGTTTTGGACATAAAAATCAATGAACATGAATAAACAATGTGTGTCTTGAATTTAATTTTCCTTTTCTTAGGCATGGGAGACAACACACTATAATGCCGTCCAATGTGAACTACCAGGCCAACATCTGGGCACTGAGAGAAGAGGGCTGCACACATCTGCTGGTTACCACGGCCTGTGGCTCACTCCGGGAGGAGATTCAGCCAGGAGACATTGTCATCATAGACCAGTTCATTGACAGGTCAGTGGTTATGGTTATGGTTCAGACATTTGTTTCTTCTTTCCAAATACTCTCAGGAAGAATAGGAAACAGAATGTCAGAGCATTTCAATAATTGTATTCTTCATATATTGTTTTCAGAATGTAAAAGATATATTTAGCTAAGCATGTTTATCTTAAGTTTTCTTTCTATCTGTTATCAGACAGAACATGAAAAAGTGATAACATAAAGTCGAGCAAGAGCTCGACATACAGGCAAGAAAAAGTAAGTTATTACATTAACAAATAGCGCACAGGTAGCTTTAGTTTATTTAGACTTGGAGCAATGTGGAGAAATCCCCACTTTAATCTGTTCACACTGTATAGTCTAAGACCCTTAAATCACATGGCTGATATTCATATACAACATCCTCATTCATATTAACACAGCTCAGGAAATGCAACAAATATTCTGCAACATTGCACACTCTGAAATGTGTTAACCGCATACGTGTTTAAATAAACACGTATGCGGTTAAAGTTTACGTGAATAAAGTGGCTGAATAGTTTTTTGATGTTTTATGAATGAAACTCCACAAAAGTTAAGATTGTATTTACTGTCTTGATGTGTTCCTTTTAAATAGTCTGCTGTCGGTTGTCCTCCTGCTGGACTGTGTATTGCAGTAATTCAAACACCTTCCCACACATCTCACTGACAGGATTCATGTTACTGTGTGACAACATTGTCCAGATAGCTGAGTAAGAAAAGGGGGACGGACTTGACTCACCATGTCTGACACATTTTGAGGAAGCCAATATTTGTTTACTATCCTGTTCAGCTGGAAGAATGGTGAACCTCTGCCTGATGTTCTGTTGAACTCTCACAGTCATAGTTTGCTCACAGCCTCCATGAGAATATAAAGAAACGCTGTCACTGTGACGTTCCTCCTGTAGAAATAGTTGACACGAATATGATAATTAACAGAGATATTCTTGTGAACAGTCGGGCCTCCTTCCTGTCTGTCTCATGTTTTAGCGAGTGTCATGGAGAGGTCTTGTTCACATGAAGATGTACTTTATATTGACATCAGCTGATAGTACTGTTCTGGTTTTGATGCTGATTTTGAACACAAATAAACAGGTTGACTGATTCCTGTTTATTTACATCGGTAATGAATACCTATATTTGTTGTTTCCATGTCTTCAGTCGCAACAAAACCTTTAAAAAAATTATTATTCCTGGTTTTCTATCTCTAGAAATCCTCGCTCACTCTTCCCTTAGTCAAACACTGGTAAACCTGAGGATATCTTTCTGTTTCGCTGATGTGAAAGCACTCTCAGCAGCGTCTGTCCTCCAGGCATATACTTTGTGTGTAACATGGCTCCCTGTGGGAATGTTGCGCTCGCTCGTTTGGCCGATCGCACAAATTCCATTAAATAACTCCATGCGTGCTGTTTCAGCCAGCTGGCATCCAGCTGGATGCGTTGAGACAGAGTGGTGTCAGTGTGTCAGCGTACGACTGCATCACGTTGCCTGTGGCTTTGTTCGGCCGTGTTGGTGAACAGCTTCTTTACCGGCATTAAGCACAGAGAGATCGGTTTATCAGAAATGAGGAAGCTGCTTGTTCAGACTTGTTCAGACTTGTCCTGCAGCATGTGACGGCATGCTTTCTGAAAGCTTCACAGTATTGATTCCACTATTGTTAAGTCGCCTCGGCTCCTCCAGAGCAAACACTTGGTGGCTCTAGGTTAGTGCTGCTGGCTGTGTGGAGTTTAATGCAGTACCGTCTCACGTGGACTTATTAAAACCATCCTCCTCGTTTGACCCTTGATTTAGATCCTGAAAAACAAAAACACCGATCAATTCCACATGGGTGCAAGAATAATATGATGTATGATGTATCTTTTTACAAATAAATAGGTAATAATGTCTTAATAATGTCGAGTGTAAAGTGTGGAGCTGTACTTCATATGATGGACGTTAAAGGATTGGTAGAATATATTTAATGCTTAGTCGTCTATAACACATCCTTCTTCATTTTAGGATAATTATAGGCTGAAGGAGCAAGTCTTTACAACAATGATGCTGAAATGACATTGCTCATGAAACACCAAGATAATTCGGTTTGTGTAGCATAAAGAGGCATTGTGCTGTGTGCTCACTGTTCAGCAGGGTGGAGCTGCAGCTGGCAAACTATTTAAGCAAGGACTTTAGTCTTCCAATGCCAGAGTCATGAGTAAGAGACGGGGTTGGGCATCAACTTCAAAATATTTGCCTATTGTCAGCGAATATTTTGGATGTCTGAGATAATTGTGGTACGACTAAGCAATCCCTGGGAAAATGGAAGAAAACCAAACACCACTTAGAAATCTCCCTATTTTTTTTTTTTTTATTACCCCACAATGATCCTTAAATGATGTAATGAAAGAATTCAGTACTGACTAAACGAGCTGAGGGGACACAGGGAGACTCAGGTCACCGGGCTAAGTGAGCCGGCCTCTTGTATGGACTGCAGACCGGGCTCCATAAAGAGCTGGAGCTGGCAGGCTGGCGTGGTGCCCGGTGGAGGTTCATGACTCTGACTCAGCAGAGCTGGAGATTGGACGACTGTTGTTGGCATTTTAGTACTGTTCCTAAAATGTTGAGTAGTTTAATGCTGGAAATAATTCAACCACGCTGGTTAACTTATCACTAAAACTGTGGCTTCTTTAAGGCTTCTTTAGGAGATTTCAAAATAGAAATTTAGATTATGATCTGGAGACAATTAACTTTGAATGTGCTGCTTGGTTGTTGATATCATGGTGTTCATGTTGACTGACAGTGTTTCTTAGAATAGTTTTGTCCTCTCAGTATTTGCTCTTTTAATGTTTTGGTATGTTGATTTCTGTTTTCCATCTTTTCAGTTTTTTTATACTTTAATTTTCATTAAAAAATGTATTTGCCAATCTGATATAAAAAAAATTGGAAATAAAAAAAAATCTCACTGTCCAATTAGTATTCTACATTAGCATACATATTACATATTACTTACAAAACAAATCAAGTAAACTCATTATTTAGTTTGGATTTGGTTAAATGGCAACAATTGAACCTGCCTGACGGCATCTCTGATTTGCTTGTGTTGTTTTGATACTAACTGTTATTTCTTCCTGTGTGCTTCTTTTGGCCAGGACTACCAAGAGAGCTCAGACGCTGTATGACGGGCAGTCCACCAGTCCTCCAGGAGTGAGTCACATCCCGATGGCCGAGCCTTTCTGTAACAGAACCAGAGATGTGAGTCCTCAAGTGCCTGTACACAAACCCCATTCTACAAACGTCACTTCCTGAGCTTTTATACAATTGTTTTCTAAAATGATTCTAAAATAGAACATTTAATGTAACTTTTTGACATATTATGGCTCGACCAAAATAGACCAGAAGTGTGAAGCTAGTGGAGAGGTGAAAAAAAGCTGCACAGGAGCTGCACAGTTAGGAGTCAATTTGCTGACAGCTAAGGTACATCTGATGGATATTAAAGGGGTGAATTTACCGCTATTCAGGCAGTTCAATTGTTTAAAGATTGAAGATTAAATGAAAAATGTAATGGCAAAACACTGTCATGGGAATTAGTTGTGTGAGAAATGGTATGCGATCAATCATATAATGCTGGATCTCATATTCAGGGTATAAAACCATGTCCACAGTTTCCCCCTCTCTCCTCCCATCGGTCTAATGGACACAGTTACTAACTCTACTCTACTAACTGTGAATCCTGGTGCAGGTCCTGGTGGAGGTGGCACGGAGCCTGGGGGTCAAGTGTCACGTCCGAGGGACCATGCTGAGTATCGAGGGGCCGCGCTTCTCCTCGCGGGCCGAAAGCCTGATGTTCCGCCAGTGGGGCGCCGATGTCATCAACATGACCACCGTGCCGGAGGTGGTCCTCGCCAAGGAGGCCGGCTTGTGCTATGCCAGCATTGCCATGGCAACTGACTACGACTGTTGGAAGGAGCACGAGGAGGCGGTGAGTCGGCAGGCTGAAAGTCCTAACAGCTGTTTGTACTAGTTTGATGTCCGCTCTTCTTCTGTGGTAACGGTGGTAATTTGGCCCAGATCCGTCTTTGCTTATTGCTAGCTTACTAGCAGTTTTGCTGCTGGTTCAACTAGCTCATTGGACAGCATGTTGTCATGTGTCTGTGTTTTAAAACTAACAACAACAACCAGCCATCACTTCTTGAAAGGAGAAACTTGGTGAAGGGATTGTTATCTCAACTGTCTTCTCCTTCGCAGTATAACCACATCCTGGTTTCCTGGAGCTACCGTGGATCGTTTTATACCACTTCACTTCATGTCTGTTCATCTCGGTCATAACCTTGTATAGTTATTTACTCTGTATGACCACGTCTTTCCCCACATGATGTCATCCTATTCCTCTACTGTTCCCCTCCTTGTTATTAACCTGATTCCCTCTAATCAGACAGCTGATTCTCCAAACTGTTTGAATAGCATTGTCCAGGGCACTTAAGACCCAAACCCCTGAGGGTCTATTACACATAACCATTGGCTCATTAAAATGCACACTGCTCTAAATGATGGCAGCCAGACGGCCATGTCTTTAAAAAGATGTACCAGAGAGAAAGTTGGTTCAGTATGAGCAAAACAAAATGTGGACATCTTTCATTATTTCATTTTTTATTTAATCGGCCTGCTAATTTATTGATGAATATAAATTATTTTAAAACCTTTGTTTCATTTAACTTACATCGAGGCACTTTGGTGCAGAAGTTGTAAGAAAAGGACCGTGTTTACTGTAAACCGTGGTGATCCGTGTCTTTATGTAGCAGGAAACATAATGTTTGGGTGCACGAGGTCCTCTTCGGTTCTCAACAGAGCATGCTAGTTTTGGATCACTTTAAATAGCCCCACATTGTTTGAGTACACACTTAATACTTTTCCAGAATGTTTAACAAAGAAGCATGAATTGCAAACATAGGGAAAGCTCAAATGTACCTTAGCCAATAGGTCACTCTTAAGGCAGTCCTTTCCGAAGGTTAACTTTCTTCCTCTGTGCTTTACAGGAGATTGTTACATTATAGGCTCTTATATAAATAGTTTGAATTACTTCAAATACCATTTTGACCTCTTTCTGCAGTGTTTAAAATTACTAACGCACTAAAATGTTTTCGAGACCATTATTGTGTTCCATTTCATTAGTATGATGTGGTCTCGACATCTGTGCTCTGTAAGCAGACTACAGTATTTGTGGCTTCTCTTGACCTCCTCTCTGTCAGACACTCTGGATAAAGCAGCTGATTTACTGTGTGTGGGCGAGTTTGGGCTCATTTGTCACTGATCCAACCAAAGTCACATCTCCACTTCCGAGTTCCTGCAGCTGACCTCTTCCCCCTCCGGTTGCAGAACGATCACCACATCCTGCTGCCACCGCCACCCCCCCCCCCCCCCCGCCCCCCCCCACCCCCCCAGGCTCGCATGCAAGCCGACGGGGGAAGGCCTGCCAGAGGAGGTTGAGTCACACTGAGTCATCAGCTTCACTGTTTTCATCCTGGCAAACACCACAAAAACATGAATGTTAATTAAGGTCACAGGAGAAAACACAAGCGCAGGAAGGAAGCAATGTTGTCACTTACTGTACTATATACTCTAACTCTGGCTGAATAATGTCGATAATATCACTTGATTTCATGGAGGCATACTTAAATATTTTACCCTGACTGTGTGAGTGAGTCCTCGGTTTCTTTACGTGATCACAGCAGATAAATCAGCAGGCTTACTGCACTTCTTGTTTTGATTTCTCCTCTTCTTGTAGCCATGTTGCAGGTGACATAATGTGATTATTGCCAGTGTCATGGACACAGCAAGTGCATCATTAACACCGCGTGAGGAGCAAGGCACAGCTGGCTGCTTGAAAAACAACATACTGACATCTGCACTGATGTGACATGTTTCTTAAATTGTGTGAAGAGTACCCGTAGAATACAGCTCATTTTGCAATAAAAACATTGATTGTTTTAAATGTTTGTTGACACAAATTTGCTGAATCTTGATGATATTGATTTGAACTCTCATCACCCTAATTTAAAGTGTTGTCAGGTTACAGCAGAGCCATTTCAGATATTCACATTAGATCTTTAAAATCTGCTCCATTGCTCAAAATTGGATCCTTTTCTGGCAATCTCCATATGATTTATCCAAACTTTATGTTGAATCTGAAAACTATGAAACCATATTTAAAAACTGCTTTTACAAGATAGCGTCTTCTCTCATTGCTGCCACAAATGTCCATTGCGATTTCTGATCCCATACAATGTTATTCACAGTGCAAACATTCTCTTCAGCATCAGTTCGGATACATGTCGTCTTACATTTTTAGGGAAACACAAAAATGACTGTGACACTAACAGGAAGTGAAATTTGCATTTCTGTAAATGATTCATATCACACGCCAGCTGTTTGTCTTCCCTCGTCCCGTAGGTCTGTGTTGACAACGTGCTGAAGACGATGAAGGAGAATGCCAACAAAGCCAGCAGTATCCTGCTGACTGCAATACCTCAGATTAGTCAGATGGACTGGGCTCAGACAATGAGGACCTTGAAAGTAAGTTTTCAACTTTATGACTCATTTCCATTCACTTAGCCTTTGGGGAGGTTGTGAAAGAATGTCTGTTTACCTTTTTTGTAGGTGGCTATCTTAGACTGAGATCTCATTTATACTGAGCGACCTCTTAAACTGTTTCAACCGAGTTATCAAACCATCTTAAAACACCACCCGCTCATGCAGGTGATTATTACCACGAGGCACAAGTGCCATAAGTGAGCAATGATACCTCCATATGACTCAGATTCTGTCATTGTGCTGTGTGTGCACAAAATACAACTCGGCTGATTTAACTTGGAATGGAAATCTGTATTTGCAAACATTGAACATGAAAACACACCATGACTGTAATGCATATTACAGTCTTCACTCAATATGTGTTAATGAAGATATTCAATGTGCACATGTTTAATAAACACGTATCGTATTAATTGCACCTCAGTAAATCAGTGTTTTACACTGGCTACACGTTTTGCATCAATATTTTTTAAACATGCTTGAAGTACTTTGAGGTTGCAGGAAGTTAAGTAGTTCAGTTACCATTCAGAACGTCTCTTTGTTTATTGGAAACGCTTACACTTTGGAAAAAGTTCCAGTTCCAAAAAAGCTCCCTAGTAATTACTGGTAAATTTAAAAAAAAAAAAATAATAATAAGTTTATGACTGTCACCTGTTTTTCTTTTCAACTTTCTAAAGACATTAACTTTTGGCCCCAGGTTACTCTGATGCTTCTTTCACATGATCAAAATGTAGTTATTGCTGTACATCTGTGAGACATACATGGGGGGGGGGAAACAAATCTGTTTTCTTCCTTCTGTTACAGTCAATGGCACAGTCTTCAATAATGTTGCCGAAACACTAAGCGTGTAGAAAAGGATCCAAGACACCACCCGCACCGGCACGGACAACAGACTCAACTCTGCCTGTGGATTTGTCATCAGTGAATCACAAAAAAAGTGCCTCACATAAATAATGCATGTGCTCTGTCTCAAGCTGGAGTCTGTTTTTTTTTTTTGTTTTTTTTGACTCAAAGTCCCCCCCACCCCCACCCCCACGGTTCACTCCCTGTTGTCTGAAACACTCAGTATTCCACCACATGTTCAGGTACGATACCGTCAACATCAAGGAAGTCTTCTAAATATTATTTTTTGTGGATTTATATTTTTTGTGGTCTGTAAACAGATTTATGTATCTGCCTGTAAACCATTGGTGTCTTTATTGCTGTTAATGAAGTATACAATAAAAATGCTTTGTTCAATACACGAATACTTTGTTACTGCCCTAGTTAAAACAAATATAGTTTCTATGTCAAATCTGAAGTATGACATTTCCTCTAGTAAAATATTTTAAATGCCTGGGTCAGAATTTTTTTTCGTATTTTGTGGAATACTTTCAATGTCATTGCTCTTCATGACTGATGCAAACTATTGAATCAGCTAATTGACAGTATTTTGGAGTACTTTTGAGAAACTGATGACCTACATTTTTGTACACTTACGTTTGATATAATGTACATCAACATAATGGAGTTGGCCACATCTGTTACTGCTCATGTTTGTCATTTCCGTTTTCTTATCTGCATTTGCTTCTCCTGAATTTCATCACACTCCACAGTATCTTCACATATTTGTTTCCTCTCTGTTGGCTTGTCTCTACAATATGAACGCATTATGCAGCAAACATTAGCTCAATAAAAACTACTGTGATTAGTGCTTTAAAGTTGTTTTGTAAAATTCTTAAAGCAACTTGAACTGATCTCAGTTAATCTTTTAATTCTCTGCTATGTTCATATATGCTATGACATGCAGGGTGGAATACTCTTGTGTCTGTGCTAAAAGGTCTGCAATAGAATAAGAATTAGGGGGGAAAAACAGAATAAAGTCAGTGCATTTATACACGTGGACAAAATAGTTGGTACCCTTCTTAAAGAAAGCAAAACTCACAATGGTCCCTGAAATAACTTGAAACTGACAAAAGTAATAATAAAAATTTACTGAAAATGAACTAATGAAAATCAGACATTACTTTTGAATTGTGGTTCAACAGAATCATTTAAAAAACCAATCTGATAAAAATGCCCTGGACAAAAATGATGGTACCCTTAACAAGATATTTTGTTTCACAAACTTTTGAGGCAATCATTGCAATCAAGCGATTTCTGTAACTCTCAATGAGACTTCTGCACCTGTCAACAGGTATTTTGGCCCACTCCTCGTGAGCAAACTTCTCCAGACTGCATGTTTTAGCTCCTTCAGATGTTCAATAGAATTAAGATCAGGGCTCATAGAAGGCCACTTCAGAATCGTCCAATGTTTTGCTCTTAGCCATTCTTGGGTGTTTTTAGCCGTGTGTTTTGAGTCATTATCCTGTTGGAGGACCCATGACCTGTGACTGAGACCAAGCTTTCTGACACTGGGCAGCACATTTTGCTCCAGAATGCCTTGGTAGTCTTGAGATTTCATTGTCCCTGTGCCAGATGCAAAGCAGCCCCAGAACATAACCGAGCCTCCTCCATGTTTCACAGTAGGTACAGTGTTCTTTTTTTGTATGCTTCATTTTTGAGACTTGAATTTTGGACAGATGAGACAAAACTGGAGCTTTTTGGCAAGTCACATTAGCTATATATGTTCACAGACGCAAAAATGAAGCATACAAAAAAAGGAGGAAGATGCTCGGTCTAAAAAATAATGTCTAAAAACAGCTTCCTGTTTGACATTCAGTGATTTATTGTTGAGATAAAAGCGCTTTTTCATGGTAAAGTTGAAATATCAGGCCTAAGACTGTATACTGGACCTATGCATGAACATTTAACTCAAGAGACAAAACAGCAGCGTTATTTATGCCCGTCGTGGTTTTGGGGACTTTACTGTGTGCTATTGTCAAACCTCCCTTTGGTTTCATAAAGCCATAAAAACAGCTCGGCTTAATAAACTAAACCAAGCTAATGTTTAACTCGCCAAAACGTAGAAGCCTTGCATATATTTTATGAGTCTAGTTGTGTTTTAATAATATTTTGTCTCCTTTCATGTTTGTCCTTATTTGACCTGCAAAGCAGCGACGCATTACCTTTGGCTATTGACTCATAATTGCGACCCATTCAGTGTGCAACAATAACCCGACGTCCATTCTTATATAGAAAAGTTATTTCTAAACATATTTAGTTGACAAAAAATAAAAATAAAAATCTACTCTGGTGCTTTAAGTCAATCAACTTCTATCAAATTTAGCCTATAGTCAAATAATCATGGCTTGCTTTTTATTTTTTATTTTTTTATTGTCTTGTACCTTTTGGTAATCCGTCCTTCAGACAATATGTGCGGCATATTACTCCTGCTTCTCTTCTGTTTATACCGTTAAACACTAAATCTTACATTTTATTAAAGTGCATAATGAGCGAGTTCTGAAAAGCATTTGTACAAACAGGAATTGGGACTCCATGTTTCTGCAGAATAAAGATCATGCTTTCAGAACTGTGGATCGTTTGGACAATAATGTTCAATGTGCAAAACATTTTGAAGGGCTTTGTTTAAATATTTGACATGGAAACATATTTAAAATACGGCATTCTCATATGATTTATGACGAAAACCAACATTAATCCTATTTTTAAAATACAAATTACTGAGCAATAGTAAAAACTACATTATAAAAAATGGGATTTACTTGTGGGCAAATTGAAATATTTGAATTATACTGGGGAAGATAAACCAACATGCAACAAATTGTGTTAACGGCGCTATAAACTGAATATCCCAAATAGCTGGCGTTAGATCTGTGTAATATTGGGCTATATTTATTATTTGTCATAACAGCGACTCTAACCCATATTTCGTTAAGAAATAAAATAACGATGCCCATCAGCAAAACATCGGAGGTAGGCCTATAAATAAAGTGTTTTACAGCAGAACAGTCGACATCATTTAGTCTGCAGGCCTCTTCAGGCCCCGTGTCTCAGAGTCCCCAATTCAAAACATAAATATCTTAACGTCACTGCCTGTTTCACTGCGACTGCAGGAAATCGACCACCTCGACATGGCCGTTCTCTCTGGCCAAATCGATCGGCTGACAGCTGTTATTGTCTGTGGCCTGCGGGTCAGCCCGGAATTGCACCAACAGCCGCGCGGTGTCCAGGAAGCCCGTCCCGGCCGCGTCATGCAGCGGTGTGGTCCCGGTGCTTCTGTCCGTCACGTTGGGATCCGCTCCGTGCTCCAGTAACAGCTGAGCCACCGGAGTGCTCCCCATCATCATCACCTTCATAAGAGAATAACCGTGAGTTATAGAATCTCACTTGATTTGATTTGATTTGACTTGACTGTAAAGATACAAATACATAATTTATATCAAAAGAGCATAAGGACCTGCAATTTAATAAAATCTCACTGACTGAATTAATCACTCAATTTTAACCCAGATATTTTATCAACTTTATTAGGAAATGGGCCTATAAGGCATGTCATGTTTTGAAGGACCTTGCCATTAGGAGCTTTGTGAACTGAAGCTCGAGATACTTGAAAAAAAAATACCAAAGCAGGCCCCCGCATGAACTACAATTTTATTTACCTGCACTCAAATTATTGAGTGGAAATATGAGAAAGATGAGCCACTGGAAGCACATTTAACGCACCAAATTTGAGCTGCAGCCTTTTAGACGCAACTGCGTCATTTTGAGGTGCGTTTATTTTTTTCCCACCAGGCTAAATAAAGAAACAATAGACTGGTTGAAAAAATCTCCCCTGTGCGCAATATGTGTTGTCATTTACGTTGTCTTAGACCTTTAATATAAATAATATTATGACACTAACTTGAGAGGACAGGAGAGTTGTGTTATTCCTCAGCACACTCTCGGTGACGGCAAGTTATGATGCGTGCCGTCTTCACAGATGACCCCGAGTCTGCATATTGAGAGGCGTAATCCCTTCACATAAAATACTGTTTCATTTACAAGATTATGCGCGGTGGGCAATAGCTATACTGTTTGTGAGTGGAAGGTGTAAATTCTGCTAATTTGTTGCTATAATAGCCTGTTTTATATTTAGAAAGCCTACTTAATCACACTATAGACTTATTTTTCTGGGAATTGGGGAGCAATTTATGAGGACATTGAAGCGTTTTGATGAGACTATTTTCTCTTTTTAACGCAACCGTAATGCTCCATAAATGTATTGTCGGCCATATGCTTTAGTGTTTGGCCTGCTAATGAATAATACAAAGTAACACCTTATGTCTGTTGTAACTCGTGCAGCCGTCTGAAGGCTCATATAAAGTTATAGTTTCGTTTCCTGTAGCTTTATGGTGAATTATATTACATCGATAGAAAAGCTGGGCAGTGCTATATTCCCTCAGTAAAAGTTAGCCGAAGTTTGATCTATAAATCTTCAAAGATGCACGCAACTGCGTCATTTTGAGGTGCGTTTCTTTTTTTCCACCAGACTAAATAAAGAAACAGACTGGTTGAAAAAGTCTCCCCTGTGCGCAATATGTGCTGTCATTTAAAGAGGTTAATGATAATGATAATGTTAAGTTCGTCTGGCACCGACCTGTAGAGCGGTGCGTCCGAAACTGTTCACCCCGTTAACTTGAGCTCCTTCCCGCAGGAGCTCCTCCACATCTGCCGTTTTTCCCGTCGCTGCCGCTGTTGTCAGTTTATCCTGCAAAGTCATGTCCAGAAATCTGCAGAGAGAACGCAGGCGTGAATCTTGTCACTTCTGTCGTCTTGACAGGTATACGAAAAGTATTTGAGGAAGCCAGGGAGCGCGGTTCGAATAGCCACAGCTCAGTGTTGATGTGCGACGGTTTCGTCCCCGTCTCGTCGGTCCGTCCGGTCCACAGGTCGTCTGGGTTCGGATGAGCATAAACCGTGCATCGCTTGTCCGGCGATCGGTCGGTGTGTGTCTGGGCTTGCCTATGGTGTTTTGAATGGGTGACGTCAGTGGCTGTTGCTGCAGTGGCGCGATCGTGCGCATGCGCGCTGCCACAGCCGGTGAGATCCTGATGTGAGACGGCGCAAAACCTCCTCACTCCTCACGACGAATGTGACTAGTTCTCCACAATATCAAACGCTGCTTCTGCGGTTCGTTCTGTAAATGTGCCGTGTGTCTCACTGGATGCTGCAACTAATGTTGAGTCTTAAAGTTTATTTTGGACCTGAAAACAAGAAGACAATACAATCTCAGCCAAGGTCCATTCAGTAGCAGCTCTGGATATAAAGATGCTTTTTTTTTTATATTTAAACAATTTGTATTTTCCTTCTCCTCGCGTGAATAACAAGAAAGTTCTCATAAAATACGCAGGTTTAAGTACAGTTCCATGGCAACCGAGCATACCCCCATCAGCTGATGAAGATCATGAGATGTGAGCAAAAGCTCCAGAACAGCTATGTGGACGTTGGGGTGTGATTGTTTCGTCAACTGATATGTTTGTAAAGTTGATGAAGTGTGTGACAGCTGTAAGGGGACCAGGGGGCGTATTAATGATTCATTTTGATTGCAAAATGTAAAGATAGTATGATAACAGAAATGGGCAAAAACAGGAGGAGTGTCCCTTAAGTGGATTCATCTGCTTGGGGCCCAAAGACAAGATTGATCTGCTGCGCCAGGTTGGCAGGTTTGAGAAGGCTAATGCATCCAAGAGTTTGAAGACTTACCAGGAATACAACATAGATTATCATATAGTAGACCAGGCCTAGCCTTATTGACCCATGGATGTATATATATTTTAATTTTTTTAACGATTGTACATATGTATTGTTTACTGGAGACGTCATTAGCATACCGTGGCCAATGTCGGTGTGCGGGGTTGACCTATGATCGTTGTGCGTAAAAAGTTTGTGTGCGTCGCCGTCTACTGTCGAATTAATAAGCGCGTGGAGGAGTCGAGGTTTGGATATTTTCAGACTTTGCGGTTTCATAAAAAACTGGCAGCTAACTTACTAGGCCATATAATTAACATGTCAAAGCAAATAGCACGATATTTAAAGAAACCAAGGTTGGGTGGCCAAGAAGGACACGGCACAAACAAGTGAGGATTTGGATAACTGCGTTAGGTTAAATTAAGCTAAACCAGCACGGGAAGGAACGGCCACCATCATGCCAGCAAAAACTCGGGCAAACTGCTTTACCGCCAGCATATCACAGCCAGATGCCGACTTCCTTGTTTAAAATCGGGGGGGAAATACACCTGTTCTTCCATCGTGGATGTACTTCACACTTGCCCCACAGATGATTTCCGGAACATGAGTTAATGTAGGCCTAGGTCCCGATGACCTATTGCAGAATGGAGAGACTGCTCCTTGTGATGTAACCTGGCATGGCCTCCCCCACAAGCCACCCTAGGTAAGATTAAACGCTGCTTTTATGCCTTTGAATGGCTCTTGCGATTGTTGCAATATTTGTCACGATGTGTTGGCTTTGCTTTTAGAATTGTTGGATTAATTTGCTTGCATGATGATGTGAGATTTTAAGATGCTTGGTTGTTTTGGGTTTTAGGTGTGGTTGGTTTTCCTTTGTTGTTGAGCTCTATTCTGTACATCTTAGCTGTCTGCCTGCCAAGTGCATGTTAGTGCTTATTATCAAGCCTGTGCTCATGATCCCGAATTAAATATTTATTTTATTTATCAATATAGTAATATTGATAAATAAAATAAATATTATTTTTTTTGCTATCACTTCAGTAGATTTCAGGATGGTTTGCTTGGTTAGTAATCCAGACTCTGCCTCTGCTCTTAGATCCAGTGAGCTTGCTGTTTCTCTGGAAATATACAAAACAGAAAACATTAATGAGAATAATGACTGATTACAACTGTTTTAGGTCATCTTTGAAGGGTCAAGATTTTGCTGAGCTGACTCAAATAGATTTTTAATAGGGTGCTGTGGATGGAACAGTAGTTGTATTTGTGTCAACAGAGTAGTGGACCAAATGCATCATCTGAATGGAGGCCTTTCACAAAATGACTCCACAATGGAAGAGAAAGCAGTTGCTGTGTGTAAAACAGTTAATATAGACAATTAGTAATTGTGTACCTTAATAACTGAAACTGACAAGTCATAGTGAAACTACAATGTCATGCTTCTCTATTTTTTAACCTGCTCAACCACTGCTGATGTGAGGAGAGACAACAACACATGGACGGTGAGCTACGCCTCTGTGAGGAATGTGACTGATAATTGATCAGTAAACGAAATGTGTGTTGGGTGAGATGAGGATGGAAAGACTTATTGTTTGTCATAGATGGAATAATGGTTGCTCGCTACTCCGCTTTATCAAAATAACATGCATCACGTTTGTCTTTTAATCTGTGGATTGAATGACAGGTGACACTGTGCTCAGACTGAGGAAGTTTAGTCTTGACATGTGGGGATTAAATGATGGATTAATTTAGGATTAATTGAAGACTATTATGTCCCTAGGTTATTCAGACCTGCACATATGGCTATGGCTAGCCTGCGTGCAATCAGCGTGGGCAGTGCTAGTGTGGCGTCTGCGGCTGTCAGACTTATTTTTGTCATTACAAAACACACAAAAAGCTCTGTCTTCACCACAACAAGTCTATTATGTGACTATTAGTGACTATTATATGGGTTTTAAGATGTTGATTGTTCAGCATGGTTGTGGGCCTCTGAGTAGTTCCTGAGCGCTGCAGTGATACATAATCGAATTATCATGAATGAACTCCCTATTTTATTTTATTTTACCAATGGTGGAAGCAGTAATTAGATCCTTTACTGAAGTAAAAGTAGTCATACCACAATGTTGCCTAGAAATACTACAGGTACAAGTTCTGCATACAGAATTGTACTGAAAGAAGTATAAGATATTTTAAAATTTATTTCTGATTATGCAGCAGAATAGAAGTACCCCTGTATGTGAGAGCATTGAAATGATGCAAATGAGTATTGACCGTGACATGACCAGCTCGTCAGCAGTGTGTGTCGGCTTGATGGGACACTAATTGTCTGTTGTAGTTGCAGCTCTCATTGGTCATACAGTATATGTCGGCAGTAATGGAGTGTGGTGGTGGTGCGTGTCAATGGCTTTAATTCTCTGTTTATCTGTGTAAATATGAGCAGACCTGTGTGGAATGTGTTTGTCTCGGGGTTCACAGCCTGTAGCGATGGAGGTTGAATGTGGGTGGAGGTGTGTTTGTCTGGAAGTCCCCTGGTGTGTCTGCGCTAGCTTGTGTGTCTGCGTGTGTGTGTGTGTCTGCGTGTGTGTGTGTGTGTGTGTCTGCGTGTGTGTGTGTGTGTGTGTGCGTGTGTGTGCGTGTGTGTGCGTGTGTGTGTGTGTGTGTGTGTGCGTGTGTGTGTGTGTGTGTGTGTGTGTCCGGTGTGAAATAAAAGGGCACTGTGAATGATTACAGACGTTATGGCTTATGCCTTTTTTGTTCTGTTTAAAGTATGGAAGAATAAACAGATCACCAGTTTTATGTAGTGAAAAAAAAAAGGGACAATCAAAGCTTGCTTTTAATGACAACCAAGGCCATCATCAAACATGTCTTACTCGGCGGTTTTTCTTTGTAGGCCTTGACTCATGACATCGGTGCATTTGGAACGTTCTTTTGGTCAGAAAAAAAATGCTCTCGGATGAAAGTACTCCTCTTCATCGCTAAATTTAGCTGCATAGTTTGGAGAGCGGTAATAGTGATGTGGGGGCATCATTGTAATCTGTCGGAGCTTCATGGTGTTTGTCACAGAACCTCTTCCATACCTCAGTTTAGCAGTCGGGGGCTTGGAATTATGATGTTACAGCATGTGGCCTCTATTATCATTCACATTTTCGCTCTACCATACCGTGCTTTGCATACTAACACTGCTGTGCAGTCCAAAGTGCTGGCCTCGACAGCCGAGTAGGGGAATACCTCTGCTCTGAGTCCTGGCGAATGAAATCATCTCCTGCTGACTGTGCGCTTGAAATCCCCCTTTTTATTGCATGTTTTAAATGGTTTGATTGTCTACCCTTTTGACTGCAAACACTGACTGTGCTAATGAATTTAACACTTGGCACTTAACATCTTTACACGGATATAATTATTTTTCTAATAACATGTACTGACTCTAGATATGTAAAAGTTTAAAATGCCCTATTTGCGGCAGCAGCAGGGCACATCCAACTCTGGTTTTTTTTTTCTACTTCTGTTTACTCTTTCTCTGTCATTTCCACATCAAAGAGTGGGCTTGCCTTGTGCATACAGGAAAAAGGACATTTAGTAGTTAAGTTAATGTCAAATAGAAAAAGGCAAAATGTTATATTTCTGCCTCTTCAGATCAGCCTTATGTAAGCAAATGTAACAAATATTTGTTAAGTAAGCCAGTAACTGTCATACTTGAGTTTTGCCCTTACCCAGTGGTATCAGCAGATAGCTTTCTATAAACCATGTAGAGACACACTCCTGTTGATAGCCTCTTGTTGCTGGTTAGCAATTCTACACAATATGTGGTATTTCACAATGCTGTGATGGGTTGAGGCTCTGTCCTACTTTCACACTGGCCTTTCACATTGTTCTATTTGTGTTATTTCATTTGCCTGACACTTCCCAGAGAATTAAAACTATTAATACAAACTGATTTTTAGACCCTGATCTGAGGTTGAATTGCACAATATTTCAATGTCGTTCTCTGTTGACGTTCAATTTCACTTGTGTCCTGATAAGACCTTCTTCTTTACTGGTCTAGCCTGTCCTCCACTATTTGCAGACTGCACATTACATCAAAGGCACATCGCAAAACACACACAATTCAGTACACTGTATTGCTGATAACACCTTTTGTTTTGTTGGTATTTTGGCTTTGAAGTCCTTCTGTCAGAACCCTTTCCATGAGTAGAGGGATAACAGCCAGACAGGGAGGGGAAAGTGTTGTTTTATACTTGAGGTTACTTTTTAATACCTACTTAATTGATTCATTCATTCAGTCATAATATGCAGTTAGCCTTAAATTCGTCTA